GAGACCAAACTCGTTCAGACTTTCAGGTACTAGATGGCTTTCTTCTTTGCTACAACGACTGAAGGGCCAAACTCGTAAGGAGTTCCAAGCACCAGATGGCCGTTTTCTCTGCCATAATAGCCAGGCGGCCTAACTCGTTGAGGCAAATACCAGATGAATCTCACTTCTTCCATAACGACCAGACGGCCAAACTCATTAGAGCTTTCAGGAACTAGATGGATCTTTTCTTTGCCTCAACGGCCAGACGGCCAAACTCATTAGAGCTTTCAAGTACCATATAGCTCTCTTGTTCGCCGTAACGTCTAGAGGGCCAAACTCATTAGAACTTCCAAGTACCATACAGCTTTCTCCACCACAATGTCGAAAGGGCCAAACTCGTTCAGGCTTTCAGGTACTAGATGGCTTTCTTCTTTGCTACAACGACTGAAGGGCCAAACTCGTAAGGAGTTCCAAGCACCAGATGGCCGTTTTCTCTGACATAATAGCCAGGCGGCCAAACTCGTTGAGGCAAATACCAGATGAATCTCACTTCTTCCACAACGATCAGACGGATAAACTCATTAGAACTTTCAGCTACTAGATGGGTCTTTTCTTTGCCGCAACGGCGAGACGGCCAAACTCATTAGGACCTTCAAGTACCGTATAGTTCTCTTGTTCGCCGCAACGTCCGTAAGGCCAAACTCATTAGCACTTTCAGGTACCATATAGCTTTTTTACCACAACGTCGAGAGGGCCAAACTCGTTCAGACTTTCAGGTACTAGATGGCTTTCTTCTTTGCTACAACGACTGAAGGGCCAAACTCGTAAGGAGTTCCAAGCACCAGATGGCGGTTTTCTCTGCCATAATAGCCAGGCGGCCTAACTCGTTGAGGCAAATACCAGATGAATCTCACTTCTTCCATAACGACCAGACGGCCAAACTCATTAGAGCTTTCAAGTACCATATAGCTCTCTTGTTCGCCGTAACGTCTAGAGGGCCAAACTCATTAGAACTTCCAAGTACCATACAGCTTTCTCCACCACAACGTCGAAAGGGCCAAACTCGTTCAGGCTTTCAGGTACTAGATGGCTTTCTTCTTTGCTACAACGACTGAAGGGCCAAACTCGTAAGGAGTTCCAAGCACCAGATGGCCGTTTTCTCTGACATAATAGCCAGGCGGCCAAACTCGTTGAGGCAAATACCAGATGAATCTCACTTCTTCCACAACGATCAGACGGATAAACTCATTAGAACTTTCAGCTACTAGATGGGTCTTTTCTTTGCCGCAACGGCGAGACGGCCAAACTCATTAGGACCTTCAAGTACCGTATAGTTCTCTTGTTCGCCGCAACGTCCGTAAGGCCAAACTCATTAGCACTTTCAGGTACCATATAGCTTTTTTACCACAACGTCGAGAGGGCCAAACTCGTTCAGACTTTCAGGTACTAGATGGCTTTCTTCTTTGCTACAACGACTGAAGGGCCAAACTCGTAAGGAGTTCCAAGCACCAGATGGCGGTTTTCTCTGCCATAATAGCCAGGCGGCCTAACTCGTTGAGGCAAATACCAGATGAATCTCACTTCTTCCATAACGACCAGACGGCCAAACTCATTAGAGCTTTCAGGAACTAGATGGATCTTTTCTTTGCCTCAACGGCCAGACGGCCAAACTCATTAGAGCTTTCAAGTACCATATAGCTCTCTTGTTCGCCGTAACGTCTAGAGGGCCAAACTCATTAGAACTTCCAAGTACCATACAGCTTTCTCCACCACAACGTCGAAAGGGCCAAACTCGTTCAGGCTTTCAGGTACTAGATGGCTTTCTTCTTTGCTACAACGACTGAAGGGCCAAACTCGTAAGGAGTTCCAAGCACCAGATGGCCGTTTTCTCTGACATAATAGCCAGGCGGCCAAACTCGTTGAGGCAAATACCAGATGAATCTCACTTCTTCCACAACGATCAGACGGATAAACTCATTAGAACTTTCAGCTACTAGATGGGTCTTTTCTTTGCCGCAACGGCGAGACGGCCAAACTCATTAGGACCTTCAAGTACCGTATAGTTCTCTTGTTCGCCGCAACGTCCAGAAGGCCAAACTTATTAGAACTTTCAAGTACCATATAGCTTTCGTCGCCACAATGTCCAGAGGGCCAAACTCGTTCAGGCGTTCAGGTACTAGATGGTTTTCTTCTTTGCTACAATAACTGAAGGGCCAAACTCGTAAGGAGTTCCAAGTACCAGATGGCTGTTTTCTCTACCCTAATAGCGAGGCAGCCAAGCTCGTTAGGACTGTCAAGCACTAGATAGCTCTTTTCCTGCCACAACAGCCAGACGGCCAAACTCACTAGAGCTTTCAAGTACCATATAGCTTTCTTCGCCACAATGTCCAGAGGACCAAATTCGTTCAGGCATTCAGGTACTAGATGGTTTTCTTCTTTGCTACAACGACTGAAGGGCCAAACTCGGAAGGGGTTCTAAATACCAGGTGGCTGTTTTCTCTGCCATAATAACCAAACGGCCAAACTCGTTGAGGCAAATACCAGATGAATCTCACTTCTTCAACAATGACCAGACGGCCAAACTCAGTATAGCTTTCAGGTACTAGATGGATCTTTTCTTTGCCGCAACGGCCAGACGGCCAAACTCATTAGAGCTTTCAAGTACCATATAGCTTTCTTCGCCACATGTCCAGAGGACCAAATTCGTTCAGGCATTCAGGTACTAGATGGTTTTCTTCTTTGCTACAACGACTGAAGGGCCAAACTCGGAAGGGGTTCTAAATACCAGGTGGCTGTTTTCTCTGCCATAATAGCCAAACGGCCAAACTCGTTGAGGCAAGTACGAGATGAATCTCACTTCTTCAACAACGACCGACGGCCAAACTCATTGGAGCTTGCAGGAACTAGATGGATCTTTTCTTTGCCGCAACGACCAGACGGCCAAACTCATTAGAGCTTTCAAGTACCAATAGCTTTCTCCACCACAACATCGAGAGGACCAAACTCGTTCAGGCTTTCAGGTACTAGATTGCTTTCTTCTTTGCTACAATAACTGAAGGGCCAAACTCGTAAGGAGTTCCAAGTACCAGATGGCTGTTTTCTCTACCCTAATAGTAGGCAGCCAAGCTCGTTAGGACTGTCAAGCACTAGATAGCTCTTTTCCTGCCACAACAGCCAGACGGCCAAACTCGTTGAGGCAAATACCAGATGAATCTCACTTCTTCAACAACGACCAGACGGCCAAACTCATTATAGCTTTTAGGTACTAGATGGATCTTTTCTTTGCCGCAACGGCCAGACGGCCAAACTCATTAGAGCTTTCAAGTACCATATAGCTTTCTTCGCCACATGTCCAGAGGACCAAATTCGTTCAGGCATTCAGGTACTAGATGGTTTTCTTCTTTGCTACAACGACTGAAGGGCCAAACTCGGAAGGGGTTCTAAATACCAGGTGGCTGTTTTCTCTGCCATAATAACCAAACGGCCAAACTCGTTGAGGCAAATACCAGATGAATCTCACTTCTTCAACAATGACCAGACGGCCAAACTCATATAGCTTTCAGGTACTAGATGGATCTTTTCTTTGCCGCAACGGCCAGACGGCCAAACTCATTAGAGCTTTCAAGTACCATATAGCTTTCTTCGCCACAGTGTCCAGAGGACCAAATTCGTTCAGGCATTCAGGTACTAGATGGTTTTCTTCTTTGCTACAACGACTGAAGGGCCAAACTCGGAAGGGGTTCTAAATACCAGGTGGCTGTTTTCTCTGCCATAATAGCCAAACGGCCAAACTCGTTGAGGCAATACAGATGAATCTCACTTCTTCAACAACGACCGGACGGCCAAACTCATTGGAGCTTGCAGGAACTAGATGGATCTTTTCTTTGCCGCAACGACCAGACGGCCAAACTCATTAGAGCTTTCAAGTACCAATAGCTTTCTCCACCACAACATCGAGAGGACCAAACTCGTTCAGGCTTTCAGGTACTAGATTGCTTTCTTCTTTGCTACAATAACTGAAGGGCCAAACTCGTAAGGAGTTCCAAGTACCAGATGGCTGTTTTCTCTACCCTAATAGTAGGCAGCCAAGCTCGTTAGGACTGTCAAGCACTAGATAGCTCTTTTCCTGCCACAACAGCCAGACGGCCAAACTCGTTGAGGCAAATACCAGATGAATCTCACTTCTTCAACAACGACCAGACGGCCAAACTCATTATAGCTTTTAGGTACTAGATGGATCTTTTCTTTGCCGCAACGGCCAGACGGCCAAACTCATTAGAGCTTTCAAGTACCATATAGCTTTCTTCGCCACAATGTCCAGAGGACCAAATTCGTTCAGGCATTCAGGTACTAGATGGTTTTCTTCTTTGCTACAACGACTGAAGGGCCAAACTCGAAGGGGTTCTAAATACCAGGTGGCTGTTTTCTCTGCCATAATAACCAAACGGCCAAACTCGTTGAGGCAAATACCAGATGAATCTCACTTCTCCAACAACG